TTTTTTGTTTGTTTTCAGACTGCCGACGAACCTTTTTAGTCCCAGTTCGGACGAATCCGAAAACGGGGATTATTAATTTGGGTTCCGTCCGTCCTTCTGCATCCATTTATCGGACAGCCTTTGACCGATCTCGTTCAAACTTGGTATACAGACAATCTATGATGACCTACATATGCTAATTTTCAATACGATTCAACAAAATATGGCTGACTGGCAGCCATTTTGTCCCTCAAATTTGCTAAATTCTGATATTTAAACGTGAACAGGGCGATTTCAATCAAACTTTGTATGGTGATCATGCATATTGGGTTATTGGAGTACGTCACTTTTTTTCAAGATTCGGTTCAAAATGGCCGACTCACGGCCTTTTCATTTTTGTGCTGATTCCTCTGAAAGAATATATCGCCTGATTCACTTGAAAGTTTTTACATAGGTACTATACTTCAAGACAATAAAACACCATGTTTTGATCAAATTTGTCGAAATGGCGGCCATTTTGTTTAATATCTTAAATTCAGTCTGTAACGTGCCGGAACTGTTTCCCGAAGCTGAATAGGGCGATTTCAATCAAACTTTATATGATGATCATGTATATTGGGTTACACGTGCAGGTCATATTTTTTTTTCAAAATTTGGATCAAAATGGCCGACTGTTTTGTCTTGAGATTTGATCATATTTGTCGAAATGGAGGCCACTTTGTCAAAAAACGTAAAATAGCAGTAAAATATCAAGTCTTTCCTACCTCCGTTGAAGATAATGAAAAAAAAATGTTGGATATGATGAACTCCTAAAAAAAAATTTGCAAGCAAACCTACTGATAAAAAAAAAAATTCCAAACACATAAAAAAAAAAAAATTGCCTTTCACTGAGCTGACCCCCCCCCTCAAAAATCAAATGGTCCAACCCTAACCTCATAATATTCATAGTCAAACAAAATGATATATGCAGCATAGCCTCTGTGACCTCATACTAAGTTTGATTGCAATCAGTCTAGGCATGAGTCACAAGTCAAGAAACTGTTGAAGAATTTTAGATAGAAACCTACTCAATTTCTTTATTTGCATCTAATAAATGCTCTTCCACCATCATGTTTTCACTACAAAAAGTTACGTCGTTGGGTGGGGTTCCTATTCAAGCACAGTGGGTAGGAGTGTATCATCCATTTGTTTTTTATCCCACCCACTTGTAGACCAACACGTGCGTCTATAATAAAAATGTCTAACAAAAATGTGTATATGTATGAAATTGTGAATGCCATCGTCAGGTTCGTGTTTGCACCTCAGGTCAGCTTTCTAATGTCGTCTGCTGACACACAACATAGAACCGTTGGATCTCTTTTTAGCTCCGTACACATAAAAGAAACTTTCCATGTTGGTCAAGTACCTTCTGGGCTAGATACTGTCTATGGTCGTGAGGTTTAAAACAAACTGCGAATGATTTTTTGGTGAAGTTGGATTCCAGGCACATATGCTTTCGTCAAAAAAATCCGCCAAATTCGAATGGCAATGCGCATGCGTTGGCTTGAAATTTGAACTTGAATACGCCGCCTACGTTCGGTTTTGGAATTGTGTCATGTAAGATAACATTTTTATTCTTTCTATAGAAGATGAACAAAGTCAAATAAAATAGAAAAGGATAATAAAATTTAAAATAACATAAGAGCAAGTAAACAAATTAAATAGATTAGTTAAAGAGCAAAATGTATATACTAGTAGTTAGTTTTTAACTAGTCAGTCTGCTAAGTTCACACCTGCGTCACTGACTGGTTTCTCGCGATGTGACAATTGCCACGTACTTTAAATACACTTTTTAACTTCATGGAAGGTAGAATAATATTGCTTTGTTATTGTTGGGCGGATCGTATTTTCTTTTCTTTCATATAATTATTTGACTATATTTTTTATTCCCAAAAACTTTAAAATAGTACCAACAAATATGGTGAATGTCACTTAAGCATGAACAGTTGTTATATAAAACATTCATAAACCTTTTTTTTAAATCAATCACAATGCCTTCAGGAGATGAACACCGTTCGTACCCGAATTTATCGTGGAATTAGTTATCTGTCACGAACTGCTTGCCTCGAACCGACGCTCGCGTACAGCAGAAACTCGCCTAGCTACGCACGGCACGTCTTCCCCTTTGTCACTGTGACCGAACACTCCCACCCAGAAACTGAACTTATTCCGTACAGAGACCGTGAAATCCGTCCACGCCGATCCACCTTATACCAGTGCAGCGCGTGATTTAAAGCGGGTCATTGCTTACAAACATGCGTTTTCTCATGAGCCTTTGCGTTTTTAGCGTGTGTTGTTATCGTCGCTTGGGACTCAATTCCCGCGCGTGGGCGGGTGACGACCCCCCCCCCCCGGCTTTAAAAAAACACTGAATGTCACCTGAGTACTATAGTGTGTACAGGGGGGTAATGACACATTCCATCCCATTGGCTGATCGAACTACAGAATGCAGAAACTTGTGAAATTAGCGGACACAGTTCATGTTTACTTTGATTTAAAATAGTATTCACCCTGTAACTGAATTATGAATTGTATGGGAGAACCCAATCTCCAGACACCAAGGCCATGATTCGAACAAGAAATAGTTGTCGGGGCTCTACATGGTGTTATTTTCATGAGTAACAAGTCGCCACTACCTGTTGATATCAGTTACTGTAAATAACTGCACGAACGTTAGTAAAAATTATTACTCCCTCCCCTTCTACCGTTTTTTTTTTTTAAATAACAAATTACCTCATTGACATATTTTTTTTATAGAATGCTGACTTTTTGACATAGCAAAACACCATTGTTTTAGAGTAACACCATTCTGTTTTGTTCGAACGTCTCTGTTGATGTGTATAGTTCGGGTTGAACTCAGGCTGAAAACAACAGCACTTTCTTTTTTGCCTGTCTCCTGCTTGACCTGTGACTCCGGCCTGTGACGAGTATTCAGTCTTTTAAAACGGCCCATGCGAACTTAAAAAAGTACACCCTTTTTTCCATTAAATTCAGAGCATGCATGTATATCCTTCGAATAGCTCCCTCTCCTTTCCGGACAAGAAGGGCGGTGTTCGCTCATGGTATATAAAATAACTGCATGGGTAATGGGTGGGTGGGGGTGGGGTGGGTAATAAAGCCCCCACACTAAACTACCCCAGATCGCGTACATAAACATATTGAACAAAGCTTCAACGTACCTTGAGTTGGGTCATGTTGTGTTGTACTACTCCCCACGACAGACATGAGGACAAATATATTCACGTAGCGGTTTGCGATCATGGTCACCGTAAGACTTTAATACGTGTGGTGTCATGTGATTTAAGTGCAAGTATTTCCGGGAAACATAAATTCACCATTCGTACTGGAAGAGGTTAGTCCACCGTATAGTGTCACCACGACAAACAATGCGGAGGGTTTAGCTCGATTTATAGTACTACCGAGAAAACAATATGAAAGAGTTGACATTCACATCATGTATAGACCCGTAACGTAGGTATGTCTGTCTGGAACGGTCTTCTCAAATGATTCTGACTAGTCCGCATTTCATGTATCTATCAGCGATCCATGCATGGAAGTCCAGAGTTTTGCACGGAAGAGCATTACGCCGATGATCTGGTCGATGCAATGTCGCGGCAGATGGGACGTGGTTGATGTGCAAATTTTCGTCAGGCCTATATACACTACCTGTCATGACCTGACCACATAACCTCATCAATAAAGACGATGGAAGACAATCGCAAACAAGACAATAGTCCTAAAGTTTATGTTATGCGTCCTTTAACACAATTCCGTAAGACAGGAGGTAAATTGATTATTTCATTCACAATGGTTGCGTGTGTGTATGGAGCTAATAAAGTCAACGTCTCACTGCTTAGTTGTATATAGTCCAGCGATCCATGAACGGTTTTATGCAGAGTAGAGTAGTGGATGACCGACTATATGTTAAGCATCATGTTGGAGCCTAACGTGCAATGTAGGTTTTCTAAGGAAATCATCTAAAATACCTTGGTCTAACTTGCAAACTAATTTAGTAAGTTAGATTTCAGGATACGCACGTTATGCCAGGTTTAATACATTTCTGCCTGGGTTGCAGCCAGGTTACGCACATTAGATAGGTTACAAGTGTTAATTTTTCACGTTAGGCAGGTTTGAAAACCACTCTTTGGGAGGTAGCACATTTGTCATGCTACGTACGTTAGCCTCTCACGTTCGAAAACGACAATGTCTGGGATGTGGTTGAAGATAATTAATTTGCGCCCTCTAACGACCACTATCGCTCTCTATTTTTCTGGAATAATCAGCATTGACCACTTTGAGATAGAGTCATGGCATTTGGTATGCATATTCTGCTCGATGAGGAGATTATTTTCTGATATAGCCGACTAATTAGCGTCCCTTACTACTTACTGGAATAATCAAAACTGAACGCTTTGGGCTTGAAGCATGTCACAGTGTAAGGCCTGCTTATTGCTATTGAGAGAAGCACCCACTGGAAAGGGGGTTCTTTCACTGCTAGAATGGGATAGACAAGACAATAGTACTGGAAATGAAATGCACATACACCATCATATCAAGTTAAAGCTCCTGGTTTTAATACCTCTCAAAATAATTATAATAAAACAAAGTGCACAATAATGCAATGAATGAATTCACTAAAATAGGAAATTGCCCGTTGAAGTGTGCATTCAGGTGATAATTAGCAGTTCTAGGATGTAGAAATGGATGACAGTCAATGGCTTCTGCAACACAACGACGAAGAAGTATAGGAGTCTTACTTGCAGAGGAATGCCGTTATTCTGGAGGGCACCGCCGATAGCAGGAGATCGCAGAGCAGTTCATACAAGTCTAACAGAATGATGGTTGCTGGTTGAAGCCTGTATCACTTGTCTCGTAATATCGAAGCAGCAACACACAGGGTACTCAGTTGAAATGGTGGACCCCAACTGTCCCAGTCTAGCCTAAGCATAAATAGCCCATATTCAGGTACACCACCTGGGTTTCCACATGAGCCAATCAGAATGTGGTCTTGCTAGCAGCTGTCTCACGTAGGCAAGTCAGTAGATCGTAAACATCCTTTGTTATGTAAATCACAAGCACACCTGGTAGACTCCAATTGTCCTTCCAGAGTTGTAAACAAGTATGACCTGTCAATCAACTTTATGACATGGCAATGCACACCGTTTCTTCCCATGATTTCATGCACACTTCTATTTGCAGCGTTTGAGGTAATATGACAAAAACGTAGAATAAAGGATGCTGACATAGCATGACATTTGTTACACGTGTTCTGCTCGATGTGATAATTTATAATGATAATCTCGTCCTCTAGCGGTCACTGGCGTCTTATATTCCTGACTGCACTTATCAGCATTGAACACTTTGGAGTAGGACGAAGAAGTGAGTATTTTCTTTGATGTTGTCATAGCAACCAGTTTATTTCAGGTTTATTCTGTTCGTCGGACACAGACTATCATAATGCATTCACCTTCAGTATCAAAGGTGGTTTGGGCTGAAGTGTGTCTTGAATTCGATCTTCTCACAGACCTAGAACCGGAAGGTATTCTGGCTATTGAAAGCCTTGTGATTCAGTCATCACACATAATATGTAATCAACACAGGTGTGGCTTAAATTAGTTGAAGGTAAAATTCGTAATGTTAATACCTCTGATGAATCCCAACCAGTGAATCTCAATGACCACTTTTGTCAGGTCAGACATGATACAACACATCCTTCCATTAAACATGATACCCATAAAGAAAGTGGTAAACCCCCTGTGCACATACTCTGTAAAGTTGCTGAGGAATACTCTAGTATGGTACTGATGGATTCAGATATAATATTAAATGATAATGATCACTACTTTGTTTGTTGAATTCGACCACGTTTTCAATCTATATATATGGCTATAATGGTGTCGGGTTATTTTGAGGCTATCGGGAATTTGAGTTCAGTCGAACAACCACAAAGGATAGGTTGTGTCCCTCAGTTTTATGAGTATGAGGAGCTGTTGCAAAGTTGGACGATGATTTGTATTGTTTGAGAATACACCTATGAATCTCCACTTTATAAATGAAAGAGACTGATGCAAATCACAAGTCAATGTGACTTGCAGTTGTCTGACTCCAAACCGAGAATATGTGACTACCACAATTCTTGTTTGGATATTATATGGGAGGGTGGTGAAAATATCTGCAAACCCACATTTAATTACTACATTGATATCTTGCATTCCATCTGATACACTTATTATTGGGGCTTATGAAGTATTAGGTCCGAAGTGTGTGCAAAGGTTGTTCGTTTGCACACTTGGATTCTGGTATTTCAAGGAAAGCTGTCACATGAGATGGTGGTTTGGGATGTTAACGTGCTACATTATTTAAAGATCGCTTCCCAAAAACTATATATACTTGTGTATCTATGTGGATATTAAGCCTTGTTTTTAAGCTGCAGATAAGCTTTGCAGTAGAAAATTTCAGTCAGTGTTCGCATTACCCGTATTGCAAGCTGATATCAAGAGCTTGTCCATCATCTACCGCAAACATACCAATTAATGAGCACGGTGCATAATGACGTCATTTAGAAACTTACTATTGTTGAATTGTTGACTCCTTTTTTTATAAATATTCATAAAGGTGGAGAGTACTTTTCGCTTTTGACAAAATTATGGGCTCAATTTTGGTCAAAATGAATGAAAATGAATGCCCGAAATAACTTAACTAAGAACTTACAAAACATTAAACACAATTAAATTGTATATATGATTCTGTATTCAACACTGGTGGATAGTTGCGTGAACAACTATGTTGATTTCGGATAGTAACCACTGTCTGAGAATGTAGACTGGACGTCACACATTTCACAGAAACCCAGTTGAGCGCTGTTGATTTTGCAATTTATGTAACTTTTATCTTCCTTTTTTGATACTTTACTGCTACACTTTTCTAAGTCAGTGTTATATTAATAAATATTATATAAATTTACAGACGAACATCATTCCGATTGACTGGTGGTCTGGAAATTATCCGGTGTTAAAAATTAGATTAAAAGTATTGTCAAAAACGGTAGGATCACAGCAGACGAAAAATGTAATTAGAACTTGAAGAAACGTGATAAAACTAGTCTAAGAGATTATGGCTCATTACTATATAGATTCAACATAAGCCACCATCTAGGTTGTACGGTTGTACACAGGTTATCAGATGTCATCGATGATATAGTAGACATACACGTACGTTGCTATGGTTTTGAAGCCGCTTGTTCCAATAGCACCGGAAGACAACACTCAAATAATGTTGACACTGTGTTGCCACGTTGCTCCAAGTCACTTCAGTGACACCATTACTTGTATGACCTGTATATATACAGTGAATATTCGTTAGTTCAGAAAGGCTTTCAAAATACTGTACATTATATGTGTAATGCCTTGCTGTAATATGCACAGGGTGTTTCATATCGTTGCCATGGTACTTATGGTGATTTATACAGAGATTCTTGAAGTTAATGCAACTTCGCCGTGTACAATTACGACAAAGATCGCAATGCTCGGGGAGTCAGCTGATGGAGAATGTCATGGCATACGAGATGCGTATGTGACCATAGACAAAGCATCAACAGATGACGAGAACGAACGACAGAGGTTGCTATCCGCAACAAATATTGCACAATTGACAGAAATTATGGAAACCGTGCAGAGAATGATTATTGACTTGAAAAATGATGTGACAGAGATGAAAAGGCATTTTACTGGCAAAACGTTAGATAGTCTACGAGAAGAAGGGATAGTTACTAAACGGGAAGTGACGAAACATACAGGTGAGAAGCATCACGTCATAACATACTGTGACATCGTCGTAAAACCCCGTGGTTACCGCTAAAAAACCACGGTGAAATACGTCTACATTGGATTTTTAAATTAGCTTGAAATTGCACGAATCCACGAGCCCCACTACCATGGCAGGGAACGTTCTAAAAACATGATTTTGTGACTTTCGTCATCATCATCGTCTCAGCCTTTCACGCCACTGCTGGTGGGTGGCCTCCACAACAGCTTCATTATGCTGTGGGGCTGAACCGTAACTCACTACGCTGGTTCAATGCGGTTTGGTGAGTTACCTATTGCTCAATCGCTTGGACAACAGGGCTATAAGGCAGGTAGTACGAGTTACATTTTACCCGTAGTAAGTCAGTTCGAGCTAACCTGTGACTTTAACTCGTCAATATTCATCGTTCTTAAATGTGGGTCGTATCAGTGTATTTTTGCCTGTAGGTAAAAAAAAAATACTCTGGTGAGCGAGAATGGGCAGGCGTCTTCCTTGTAATACAGTCATACTGTATACTGAAATCATACGTAGTTACGTTTAGATGCAAAAACATTCCTGCATCTATATCGGTGTTCAGTTGACTTTCCTATCATTGCTCCTCGCAAACTAGTCATCTATAGTCAGTCAACAACACGGCTAATGCCTCGGTACGCATTCTATTAATTTGCATACTCCATAGGTTAAATGAATAAATGAATGAATGAATGAATACAATCACGTTGTATTCTAGATACCCGAAACGAGGATAAAAGTGGTAATGTAAAGGCAAAGAACAAGCTGCAAAAACCACCGATACTACGTGACCAATATGACGCAGGTAGGTTTCAGTGACCAGTGGCAAGTCATCTAACCAGTGCAGATGAGCGCCGCCTATGGTGATGCAACTGTTTATACTACCATTTCTTGTATCGTTGAGTTCTGAACAGTCTGATTAAATCAGATGTGGGTAGTTCGCTTCCGGCCGCCCGGACCGGATGCGACCAATGGTTTTCGAAATCCCGCAGCACATTAGGCAGTTTATTGTTGGCACAGGTCTTTGGTCGTATTTGCCAACCGATTAATTGAAAGCAGGCTGGAAATGTATTACGACTGGTTGAAATCACATATCAATCTAACGTTTATGTATTGCCTTGTAGAAAGAAACATCCAAGAAGACACCGATCACGACACACCTCCCAAAAATTCCGCCGACAGAAAAATTCCGAGCTACAATCCCTCCATGTCTCAAACGTGTAATTTTGAGTTTGTCAAATCACCAAATGTCGTTCAAGATTATTTCCGTAAGTATTTTGAATATTCAACAGTTACTTTGAATAATTTAAAATATGATTTCGAATACGTACCATTCTGAATTGTGATCAATCCTTCTTTTGTTTACATTATTCACATACATTGGTATGCATAATGTCGTAATCACCGCACATTCCAAAAGTTGTTGGTCTTTTTTTTTCATCTCACGATAGATAACAAGATTTCGAGGCATACAGTGGCGCACTTCAAATTTGACCAAGATTCCAGTGACACATCAGGCAGTAACAACCACGGAAATGCGATGGACGGAGTTAAGTTTGAATCTAGGAGTGGAATTAAAGATGGGGCAGCTCGTTTTGCCGGGGATGGCAAAATAAACGTCGACGGTTTCCGACTCTATCCATGGGGAAGTGGATTCAGCGTAAGTTTGTGGGTGAAAAGGACTGCGGATTGGGCAAAGGAAGTGACCATTCTGTCAAACGGAGCCCCCGAATACGGTACCTGGGATATTCGCATGGGACACCAAATGGCAGGACAAATGATTGGTGCAAGTATATTCACTTGTTGGGACGCGTATAGACGCCAGTGGACATACCAAGATATTTTAGCCGAGCACAATACATGGCACCACGTGGCGCTTTCTTTCGATGGTTCAAAACTTGATTTCTACTTGGACGGTCAGAAACGCCCGAAGACTATTCGAGGTCCGTGTAATAGTGACACGCCAACTCGGGACACTCCTCTTACTATCGGTGGTGGCGGTGTTGGAACCATCGGGTCGTATTTTACTGGGCTGATCGATGAGTTGTTGATTCTAAACACTAGCCTGACATATGAAGAAGTACATTATCTGTATACGTTGCATGATCCACGTGAGTGTGAAAGTCCATACATAGTGGCACATTTCACTTTTGATGACGATTTCAACGACCAATCATGTCACCAGCGACATGCTAGTTATGATAGGGGGGCCAGCGTTGAGCCGTCAAATGCGGTGATTGACTCTGCAATGATGTTTAACGGAGTAAATACAATTAAAGTCGCCCTTCTTAAAAACTATCCCTATGGAAATCAGTTCTCCGTTAGTCTACGTTACAAACGCACTGGAAATTTTAAGAAGGAGCAGAGCATTGTGTGGCACCATAGTTGGGAAATCCGCGCAGGCGCTAGCTCACGGATAGGGGGCGCTGTTAGGACCAAAGATCGGAATACCGAATCTGGCTCGCTGGTGATCGGACAGAGTTCATCCTATCCTTACGAGAACATCCAGGCTGCAGACGACGAGTGGCATCACGTGGTCATGACGTACGATGGGTCCCTTTTGATGTTCTACCTAGATGGAGAGCGACAACCCGGCGACGTAAGCTGCTGCATAGGGGATATCGTCATCCCAGAAGCACCCCTGGTGATTGGCGGTCGCAACATAGAACAAGGCGTTGTCCGCGGCGGACAAGACAAATTCCATGGTCTTATTAGTGAACTTAGTCTTTATAGAAAAGTGTTACGCCAAGAGGACGTTATACGTTTATTGGAAAGTCTTGATTCCTAGCAATATGTGTATTTCGTATCATACCGAATAGTTGAGGTATTATCGGGTACATTATCGGGTGAAATAATATTACAAATATGTTTATCGTGACCTTTGTGTAAGTTTAATATGTGTTGATACAGTAATATACAGATAAGCATGATACGCACACCTGGGGTCCCATTAATATTTTTTTTTCTTAAAAGAAAACTTGTTATATGGGCTTGTCCTGAAATAAAAGATAATAATAATTAATTGACTGGCCATTGTTTTCAACGATGTTCGATGCCATTGAAAATTGCCAGTATGGAATATGATCATCTTTCTTATTCGACTGCTTAACTGACCTCCGGGTCGGGCCTGTAATCGACCCCGATCCCAAGAGGCGTACTAAAACTGACACAGGCGTTTAATCACAAATGACTCTGACTCAATTTCTTCAACGCCTGGTCTCAACGATAATAATTTGCAGTGAACTTGCTTCATTCTTAATCTAAACATCCCTCTAGATCTCTCCAGATCTCAGTGAAAGCACGACAATTACAAGAAAGCACGAAGAAAATAGAGCATTAATTAGCCGTCATTTCACCTGGATTTGAGATTTATAGTTGGGAAAGGTTGTCGCGTAAGGGCGCACAAATGACCGCCCAATTATTCTAGAAAAAAAATGCGTTAATAGGGGACAGTCCTGAAAATCTGAGTTCCGGGAGTTACTCGTGACAAGTAAGTACCCATTCGAATCGAAATATACAAACTAAGCACACCGATAAGAAAAATCCAAATATTTTTTCGACACACTGATCGCATGCTAGCAAAAAAAGGAGTATAATCCGTAACTGGGATGCCCTGGAAACAAGAATCAGATGTACCGAGGGGTGAATAACAGGATTCTCCAAAACAACTGAACACGTAAACCTGAAACGTAAAATCGTCATAATATTAATATCTCAATTGGGTTATTTCTATAAAAAAATCTCCAATAATTACTGAGTACTCCCATTAAACAGCAACTTACATTGCAGGGTTATAGAAAGTTTATGACACAGTCTTACTATAAAGCGTGTCTTGTTCGTGACGAGATAGATTATGCTCGAGATTTTTGATTGAATCCCCGCATGCAAAATGTTATAATGAGTCTTCTGCTGCGACGGGAACGTAGAGGATAGGGACCTCGATTCGACTTGGCCGATAAATCGTACACTGTACAGATGCCAAGTTCGACCTAAAGGAATACATTTGAAGGGATCACAGATAAAATATACCACTTGATTACAACTTCCAACTTCTCTACGTACACCCCAACTACAATTACTTT